TAACCGAACTGATCTCTCGACTTGACACCCATTTCTTAAAATTCTTCCATTAGAATAATCTCTTTACCCCGAGTGATAAATGAACTGTTTGTCGGCGGATCTTTTCAGCATGTAACATGCTATATTATTTGCCCTTTGTTATCAGCACCCACATGTAAGTACTCTGCACCAACGTATTGACTCTATAGCCCTGATACGTTAACACTCAACAGGCAACACCATGATCACCACTTCCCCATGCCTATATATCTTGGCAAAAACTGAATTTTATTTAAATATAACTAACTTCATTTCCACTTTTGTACATAGGTTTTCTACGCATAAGTGAATACCTGGGCCAAAATCCTGTAATGTCTCTATTCCATAGTGGCATCTTCGGCTTCAGTTTAGTTTCCACTACTTTCGTAAGCACCTTCATCTTCTTCCCCATAAGCCTGTGCCTAAACAGTTGGTTTTGGATACTTCTTCAAGTGACTTTTATGGTCAGTACAGCGAACCCATCCATATTTATCATGGTTGATCTACTCCTGCGTAGCATTTTTGTGCTCCTGTTTCGAATTTCCCCTGCCGCTCGCTTTTGTCATTCATTTGTCAGGCCTACCTAACCAGTCCGTCATCCGTATGAAATCCTAGCAGTCGTATTTGCTAGTATGCACCATGTCATCAAAACTTTATGACAAAACACATACAACCTTAGGTCATGACTGTACTACCTGCCCTACCTGCAAGAATATTGGAAGATTCAAACAATAACCGAATAATTCCTATTTTCTATCTGAGCTTGCTTCAGTATGCTGAACAGTTATGCTGGTGTTTATCTTCTTCATTCCTCGCTGTCTGCGAAGCATTAAAGTTTTTTCCGTAGACGCATTTCTTATGCACCGCGAATAACGGTACCTAATGTATAGCTTAACATTGTACATAACGGTCATTTCTCATTACCAAAATGGTCGAACCTGTAAACTGTTTTGTGTTCATGTAACTTAGGCTGCGTGAAATATATTATTATCATTAGTATTATCGTGATAGCCACTCGAAAACTCGGTGTGCTCGTGGTTGCCGTCCGGGTGACCGGAGTAGATTGTTGATTCTCTAGTTGGCAGTTTGGAGAGTTCACCTTCATTCCATCTGCAGGCTCCCCGCAGATTCCTAGCAAGTCTATCCCATACCTTCTCATCTCTTTTGCAATCTGGGAACCCTTGCTGGGTTCATACGTGGTGTGGACATTCCTTGTCCCCGTGTTTACCTTCGCTTTCATCGAGAGGAGACGCACCGGTCGGTTGGATTCCCGAGGACTTTCACCAACTAGCGTCATTTCGTCTCTCCAATTCCAGCCGGGTATAAGGTTGTTTTTGTTTTATACATTTTTCCTGTGTTTTGAAATTTCTTTACCGATTGGATTGGTTTTAGGGGGCAGGTTGCTGGTCCTATGCACGACCTTCCCTCTTTATCCGGGCTTAGAACGAGCTGGTGGCCAGTGAACTAGTTAGCCAGGTAAGGTTATGCCTTGGTTGTTTGCTGAAAAATGATTTTTAAGCGGGCGAAGTAAGTCTTCTGCCCTCCCTAGTAAGCAAAGACAATCGCGCATCAGTGAGATTCTGTCTCATAAAAAGAAGAAAGTACCGGTAGCTGCACCTGGAGCCACCCACTGTTTTCGGAAACCAGACAATAAGGCTGTGAAGTAACATAGAAATGCACCACTGGCAAACGACTGGCACCACCTTGAGACAAGAAAATACTTGATTACACGGAATGGATTTCTGTCAAGAAGCTGCCGGGAGTATACATAAAGTCGCTGATAAGGAAGTTCTTCTGTCACTTAAGGAGCATTAAGACAGGGAAAAGGGAGCCGAGAAAACATTTATCTACGTTCCCTAAAGGATCGAACTCGTTCATCTGAAAGGAGATGCACAGTCTGTCTAACAGGGCCAGCGACGACGAATTCCAATTCCAGACTGATATGGCTAAGCAGCGAAGTTAAAATCGGAAAAGTCTATAACTTTTTATTTCATGACGAGAAGTGACGAATATTGGCTTAGGCCATGGTAAAGATGCGATTGAATAGTTGCAGAGTTTTACAGCGATCCTGTATCTGTTAAGCACGAGTTTTAGCCGGCAGCTAAACATAGTAATCTGTCTGCCACTGAAACACAACCTTGAAGCATGAATTCAGGACACCCGGGGGTGAGGAAGGAGAAGTAAAGATTTCACCTAACCGTTCTGATCAGACCACTTAACGTTCCTCAATAGGATAACGTGAAATCTCAGGTTTCATGGAGCACCAACTATGTAACCACGCAGCATGTCAATGCTTACTCCAGGATCAAGTCAACTCAGTAAACTTTGGGAGAGCACTATTCATCCTCAGTCCTCAAGGAAACAGGGCGGGGAACCTGGGTAAACATGGACTGGTGCGGTTGTTGTTCACGCTTTTCGGGATGATGAAAGGCTTGGCTATAGATGTTGCTTGGGACCGTCCTGGCAGAAAAATGTGTCGGTTTCGAGCGCCACGGTTGTGGAACTGGGCGGTCATATATCACACAGTGATCCTTTCGCATGGCCGAAACTCTAGACCAGGGAAAAGGCAAATAGTTCAGATGTTCTCTTTGGATCTAGCTCAAGTATTCAAAAATGCTCTGAATTACAACATAAGGGCGAAGGCCGCACTTTTGGGCATTGTCGAACCACCCACGGCTTGGCTTAAGACACACCTGAAGAACGCAGTTCAGCAAAGGTAAACGGATTTTTGGCAAGCTTAGTTGAGCTTAAGAACAAGAGTATCTAGGGCGGCGGTCCTTGGGTCACTGTCGCTTTCACAACTCATAAATAACATCCCTATCCCAGTTTTATGATCTATCCTTCGGCGTTTCAGTGACACTGAACCAGGAAGACGCTGGCTCAGGAAGAGCGCTTTGGGATACCTCAAGATGGCTCACTGCATTTGGAATTGTGGACTGATAAAAATCCCTCGGACTTCATTCCGGAGAAATGCATAGTGTTGTATCTTGGGAAGCCACAAGTGATGAAAGCAAACCACAAGCTTGGCGGCTGTGTGGTCATCCCTGAGCAGGACACGGGGTGAAATTGCTAGGCGCACCAGATGCCAGTGCCAAACGTAAAATGGTCAGAGTAAGGGCCAGAGACATCATGCGCTTTCTAAAAAGGCGAGCTGTGACCCTTATCCCAGACTGCTGCGCTCACTTTCATGACCTGCTTTAGACCATATTTTCAAAGCGACATTCACCCCTTTGCTGAAGCAGGGTGCAAACATTCTCGAGAAGATGAGATAAACGTAACAAGGTCAGCTGTTAGAATAACAGATAAACGTATGCATAACTTTAAAGACAACTTGACCTGTTCTCTTTAAACTATCGAAAGGAGATAGGCGAGCCGACAAAATCATGCAAGACTACATATCAGGTGAAGCACTCCAACAGGATGGCAATACCAGTCCGAAATGGACAGTTTCATGAGGACTTCGCTTTTATATCACATCGGTTGGCTGAAAAAGGGGTTTTGCGGACCTTGTTTTCCCACCGACTATGCACATTGTGCAACTTCCCGTCGTAAGAATTAGTCAGTTCCCTCAGCTTCCTCTTTCGAGTGACTGTTCGACAAGTGCGTGACCACATAAGGTGTTTAGGCAACATACACTGAGGAAACTGAATATCTGACTATCAGTCCCCCTGTTACCTCACTGCAGCCTTAGCGGTAGTGAGAGTCGCTGTCAACTTTCGCATCATTGTTAGCATCATTACTGTTTCTCACTACTTATTCTATCCAACTCACAACCATAAACCAAATATTTCGCACTCCTTTTAGAGCGACATACTTAGTGATAGTAGACCATGTAGAGAAGCACGATGGACGATGGTCCTCAACTAATATCCTTGTGCTTAGCTCTTAGAATGACAGACCGAAAACCTCAGTTTCAAACGCAAACATGGCCTATGAAATCTAATTGAATCTCGTGGCTCTTTTTCTACTGGCATGCGTGTTAGAAATGTTGCAAGCCTGAAATATCTTAACATATTTCTCTTCACATCCTCCCTGGCCCTCCCGCACCCCACTAACTTCCGAGGGAATCCTCCGCCCAACTTACAACATTAGGAAGCTAGGGGCAACAGGCATAAATCGCCATCTTCAATAGTGTTGTACCCAATTCCTGCATTTTGACTACTCTTCTCTACTTTCCCCTTTTATTCTCTGCCGCTTTATTACACAGTGGTCTGAAGGTTTTCGACAGAACTAGCGGTGTACCTCTGAACCCTCGTGTTAAAAAGGTTGTGGACAAAGATTTTAACTCATGTAAGAATCTACAAGTGTTCTTTAATCAGATGAACAGCATCCTCGTCACTCACAGCTCTCTGCCTTTCGGTTCTCAGACAAGACCGGGGGAGGGTATATAATACTTCTTACACGTACTGCCGAACACAAAAACCCTAAAATACCGTATTTAGCTGGTATCCTGTGTGAAGAAGTATCAGAAATGAACTGTTTAATCAACTTTTGTTATTTAAAGCAAATTAACTACAGATCAAAGAACATGCCATTATTTATGCACTATGAATGTATTTCCTAATGTATTTTTCCGTCTAGGCAATGCTGCATTTGTGTATAATCTCTTATTATTTCATTTTATTGTGTAAACATATACACCGTTTCTGTCCAGCTGATACCAAGTTAGATGTTAGAAATTCACTACACTTCTCCAAAAGTACCTTTCAGAAGAAAGCCATCATTATTATTCGAGCAGCTTAAGGTTGTCTTTACAGCCACATACGGGCAAGCTGAAAAGATTTATGTGGGCGTCGAAGTTGAATATTTGAGCCGAAATAACCGAATCTCACGATCTAGATGCTGAACTTCTAAAAATATGGACCCAATGAACTAAAATTACCAATCTTCAATGATGAATTCATGGACCGGCAATGATATTTTGAAAGTTATTTTTTCAATCGTGTTTGTTCTTACTAGTTCCCGTTTGAAATTGTAAACAGTTAGCAGTTGGCGCGTTTCTGAACTTGTAAGTTTTGACCGCATCACTGTCTGTCTTTTGGACTAATATTCTTTTTTTTCGACTTCACATACGAATACACTTTTGAAAACTAGACAAATTGCCTCTCTTCTGTAGATTAGAATGGCTTAAAATCTTGATGAGCCTTCAAACTCGGGTACAGTAACATGACAAGCTTAATTATATAATACAGCGGAAATAACTGAAAAATAAAGAGGACATACCCGTAATTCGTAAATGCGCCCGAAGCAAATCCTGGCTATTATTTATCTGGCAAGGTTGTTAAATATATTCCTGAATTTAAATTTCACTAACAACCACACCAGAAACACATATGCATATATGCTTTCGTGGCGATTTCGTCTCTCGGTACATAATTTTCATATTGGTTTCTCTGAGGTGTTTATTTATCAGTTGCTAATTAAGACTAGTCATCTAACAGTGCGGTGGTTTTACTTTAATCCGACAAACCAGCATTCGTTGACCGAAATATCTATTCGATGGTCATAGTCAGCGATTATTGTGCAAGCAGACTACTCCATATTGAAACGTGATAGACTTACCCTTATGTAAACATTTCGTAAAATTGCCTTATTGTCACACTTCACAACAGCATACAAGTAACAGGTGGAAAGAGAAGTGAAAAAGTTGTGTGAGAGATTAAACAATCTCAACATATTGGTTAGTGCAAATATTCAAGCTCTAGAAGATATCAAGAAGTGAATGCATCTGCGTCATTGCGACCGGTCTTCAGCCACGTCATCAAGAGTTCTCAACCATCGATTCCTATTGTCTCGGGAACCCCAACTAGATAGTCTACATCCCCTACACGGCTCAGACCAGTCAGAGACTGCATCGGCTAGTGGCGCATCTAGGTCTGGACACCCTGAACCCTCTTCCAACTTCCTCTAACACGATACGTCGAGGTAGGCAGTGGCTCAACATGCACGACACATGTCCACGCCATCTCAGTCAATGAAGGTTCGCAACCTCATGAATCAACTTGCCTAGTACTCTTCGTCTGAACTCAACATTACTCACATGGTGGTCCCACCAGACGCGAGAAATGCATCGAGGACATCTATGATCCAAACCCTGTAGTCGCTTTTTGTCTTCTACGTTAAACAACCATGTTATGTCTCAGCCGCATGACTGGACAAAACAGACTGGGGTGGCGCAGTGTACTTCTTTTATAAGTAGTCGGATATCTCGACAGTCTGTGCCACAGATGATGCAAGTTGGCAAACGCCAAACTCACTTTCTGCATCCCAGCTGAGATTTCGTCAGCAACCAGCCTGTTCAGGCTGATGCAATATGAAGCGGTCGACACACTCCGCCACTTCACTTTCTATCATTAAACTAGGAGTGGTTGTAGACGAGCCCTGAAGCATCATCTTACATTTGACAGGTGCGAGACGTATCCCAAACATGCCCAGATCTCTGCTCAACGCGTTCAGAAGACACTGCATTTTGACGGCGTCTTTGCCCAACCGAACAGTATCATCTGCATACCTTGATTCAATCAGATACCCTTCAGAACAATCCCTATGAAGTTAAACGTATCTAAGGTTATGTCTATCAGTACGTCTACAACGAAGTTAAACAGGAACGGTGACAATGGGCATTCCTGATAGACACCACTAGTTATCGTCAATACTGAAGACAAGTCTCCATCGGCTCTAACTCTTAGTAGAGTTTGGATTAGCGTTATATACCTGGTTGGTACGGCCTTCACAGTCAGACACTGCCACAACACCTCACGGTTGGCAGAGTCGAATGACGTCTTCATGTTGAGAAAAGTAACAGGTGACGGTTGTCCGTAGGTATTCCTGTGTTCCAGTACCTGTTGGAGACTAAATGTGTGATTTTTGTCTTGTCCAGGTTTGAAACCTGCCTGGTTTTCTCGAGACATGACTATGGCGTGCTTCTACGTAAATAAGAGTGCTCCTTCATTGATCGACAGTCCAAATATAATCAGTTAGCCAAGTGTGTAAGTTGCAGGCCTTCTGATGAGCCTTGGATGCAGCTCATCTGACCGCATTAATTTTTCTGAATCCAGTTTTCTTATTGTCCTATGTGTCACTGCAGCCTATGTCCAGCTTATTAGCTGGATGCTAATGCTTCTGCTGTTGAATTAGTGTTTATTGGAGGTTCTTGACTAATGGCCTCAAAAGAATATTGATGCGCAGGATCTACTTTGTTGTTATTGTCTCCAGTTGATTGGTAAATTTATATTTCTTAGATGAATGAGTATAGGATTATGTATTTCATTTCTTTAGTTCGTATAAAAAAGTCTTAGTTATTTTAATGCATTGTAGGCTAGACGCGTTTCTAGGCATATTAATGTCCGGCGGATAACAACAGTACAATTATTCCGGACTTCTTTGTCATGCTTTTTCACTTTAGGATTGTCAAGTTTAATACTAAGACTGGCACTTATTTTCGTCGCATTATTCAGAATAACGTCTCTCCCGTCGGTTGACGTGAAAACGACACTAAGTTATATTGCACGTTGAGGTAGGCTATGGCTGGGTGTGCAGACATTTTTAGGCATATCTAGTCACTGTCTGTGGCCCGCGTGGCAGCAAACGTTGGTGGTTGGAGATGAGGTAATTTGGCATAGATACATCGACACATTATCTTGATATCAAATTCAACTATCGTTTCATTCCCTCTCATTCTCTTTTCACGACTTCCGACTGCTTTTGACCACTTTATCCCTTACTTCTCTATCTTTCATCTTGATGCCTTTTGCCTTGATTTGCTGATGTGATGTGTGGCAACTTCAACCGTTACATAGTTATCCCAGGTCTCAGCCTTTTTCCCTCATAGCCTACCGACTTCAGCATTAAAATCACCGACTGCCACAACTACGTCTGGACGTTTAGCTTTCAGTAAAGGACCAGAGAGTTTTCGTCAGGACTCATCCAAACTAAAGTCAGAAGCAACAATGAGTTTCATTACTCTTTTTAACCCTCAATGTTTCAGTCAAGCGGCGTGCAGGCAACCATAATTTGGAATCCAGTTGACCATTACGCCTTCTGCCTTTGGATTTAATGTTATGTCTACACATGCAAGACTGCAAGAACTAGCGCTGAATTCTCCGGAAACTGGAAGGGTGGATTTTTTGAATTCTCAATATTGGCCAGGTGTGGCTAAGTGAATAACTGCGATTGCGCCATATATGCTTGTCTCTCAAGCACGGAACACCTCCAAAGCTCGAGATACCAGAGTTCTAGCTAGCAAAGCTTATTGGTCAGTTTGACGGAGGGTGCAGACATTAAAATCTGCTATATATGGTTTAGAGTGCGGTTTGAAGAAACCAGCTATGCTCTTCAGCTTTCAAGAGCTCTAGAGCTGGAACAAATTAAAGATGACGTAGCAATATTAACCGAGAGATGAAAGGAAAGAGTAAAAGGCTAAGATAGATGTTGGTGCTGTTAGGAAACTTGAGTACTGACAGTGTGAAGGTGGCTGACACCTCCGAACTAGCCACACTGTGGAAGGTCATTTTGATGAACTATCTCTTATTTCTACGCACTAACTAGCATCTCAGTTACTGTTTCAAGTGACTTTCGAATTCGGACATCAATTGAGACGGTGCCCGAACTGCAGTCAGTGGGGAAGTAGATCGAGACTACGACTAGGCATCGAACGGTGTTACATTTTCCGGTTCTAACAAATTCAGTCAGACAACGCATAGATAACTGTTGATTGGTATCCATTCGAGAAGTATATTTCCTGGTTGGAAACGTCTTGCTATACCTAATCCAGAAAGTTCACAGTAGCTAGCCATTTAGTTTCCATATACTCGTAAAATAAATCTTGTAAATTCACCACACTTGGCTCCTGTGTGAATGTCTTAAGTTCACAGAACAGACTCAGCTGAAGATTCTACAGTTTTGGCAAGGGTGGGGGCTACTGTTCGACCTGGCATGAGGCTCAGACAATGGAAGCTCCAGTGTGGAATTGGCAGTCTGATTTTCGAAGACTCGAAATGGTGTTTTGCTGGCTTACATCGTTAGCAAAGATCGCAGGATAAAAAGTTGAGAAAGTTATGAGTGACCCAATGTTGGGATTAGGAAGTGAAGAGAGGAGACAAAAGTTATGAAAGCGTGTTACAGAAAATTGAATTCCGTATACTTTTGAAAGCGAATAGGTGTCAGCGTTTCTCAGATGCCTACGTCGTGTCATTTGTTTCTGCCGCGGCATCTAAAAGAGGGAAGCGAATATTTCTGTAACAGAAAACTCGATGGCATATCTGCTTGAGATCAGTTACATATGACCATTTCACAAGATTTAGATGGAGATTCGATTATTTTGCAACTGAACATATAAAGCCTTCACCATGGACATCGAAATTATGTAAGGCTGAGGAGGAGGGTGCCATTGCAAATGCCGACATTCTTCAAACACGCTCCTTCTCACAGAGGGGTCACCAGCATGGGCTGCTAATCATCTACAGAAAGTACTTTACTGTCGTCACACCCTGTACACCGGGAAGTATGAATTTTCTTTTGGATTCCGACCATCACATAAGCTATTTAAACTGTAACCGCTTTTAGTCTTGCCACTTTGTTACAGACATTTTTGTGTATTGGAAACTCAAGAACCAATTTGTTCACCAGCGTACATCGATAGTTGATTCATGAGGTTGCGAACCTTCATTGACTGAGATGGCGTGGACATGTGTCGTGCATGTTGAGCCACTGCCTACCTCGACGTATCGTGTTAGAGGAAGTTGGAAGAGGGTTCAGGGTGTCCAGACCTAGATGCGCCACTAGCCGATGCAGTCTCTGACTGGTCTGAGCCGTGTAGGGGATGTAGACTATCTAGTTGGGGTTCCCGAGACAATAGGAATCGATGGTTGAGAACTCTTGATGACGTGGCTGAAGACCGGTCGCAATGACGCAGATGCATTCACTTCTTGATATCTTCTAGAGCTTGAATATTTGCACTAACCAATATGTTGAGATTGTTTAATCTCTCACACAACTTTTTCACTTCTCTTTCCACCTGTTACTTGTATGCTGTTGTGAAGTGTGGCAACTTGAACCAATATATTTGTGTCCAGGATTCAACTTTTATTTTTGCTATGTGTGTTTTGGTTTTCATTGCTTCTATTTTTGTGCCTTCCTAGTGTTTCTTTTTCTTTGTGTGATGCGTCACCTAGAGCACTTGGTTTTTTGCAAACAAATAACAGGTATTATTTCTGGGAAACAGTAAAGGAATAATTTGTTCACTTGTTAAAACTTGTTCTTTCGTACTACGTGAATCTACTTTTAGATGTTTTGTCTGGTTAGGGAGTTTTTGCTTAGCTTCCTGACGGATCCTTGTAGTGGTACATTTACTTGGTGGACGTATTAAGTTTTTGTTTATGATATCACTGAGGTGATTGATAAAATGATAGTGATCGAATACTATGTCTAGGAAAGCCTTAGCTTCATTCTCATCCTAAGAGACACATTTGGCACATTCTTAGACAGTTTTATACTTTCGTTTACTTGGCTTGTTTATTCAAAGTCTTTTACAATGTAATATGCATTGTGTATTACTTAAATCCGTAATTTACGGATATTTGCCAATAAAAGGACTTAAATTTATTGTGTACTACTTTCACTTTTTCTCAAAACCACCCTCATTGTGTTTCATATCTGATGTTTTTTTTCCAGTGTATATCTTACTTCTGATGGCTCTGTCAAGCTTCTCCCGCACTTTCTCAGAACTCAGTTGTGGAGATGGTAGCCTCAGTAGAACCCTGCAGGATAATAACCAGAGCTGCAGCTTAAGCGGGAACTTCGGAATCCCGAGGTCAAGACCTAAGTAAGTCTTGTATTGTATATTTTCTTTGCAGCTCCAAGACGCCGACACGAACTCCATCTCGCAGTGTTCTTTCATCAGATGATTCGAATACTTCCAACAAAAGGACACCAAATTCTTCTGTGACAAAAATGTCAGCAGTGCATGAATGCGAGGGTGACAGGTGATAATGACTTTCTTTTCTTATCTTTTAACAGATTTATCCCTAACAGATCATCAACAAATATGTCTCGAGCATGCCATGCAATTCGGAATTGTAAAGAAAATGTACCAAACGATGAGACTGTAGAATATCAAAAAGCTGTGGCAGAAAGCCTAAATACGAATGATTGTCCTGGTAGTAGGATTCTTCGCTACAATGCCTCTCTTCGAGATAGTGGTAATAAGAACAACCTCGTGGAGAACAAAGTATCATCTGTAAATGGACCTTACAAACGTGCTATACCCCAGGTGACTTAAAGTAGGGCATAGGTACCTTTTATAGCTTTGAAATATAAACAGATTTAGTCTGTGACTTCAGAATATACTTTTGTAATTTTGATGCCAGCACCATTGGGTTTGCATATGGTCTTGGCGCTTGCTATATCATTGGTTAGAGTTTTATTCATGAAGTTCTGTCAACAGTGGAAGATTAAATCATTGTACTGGTTTGGTCTCAATATCGTATTGTTGGTTGTACTTGTTGCAGCTTAAAGTTGTTTTTTTGGTATGGTTTAGTATGTTTGAATTGAAGAATTCTGCATAGTTTCTCGGAAGAAACTTTGTATCTCAGGATACTAAATGCCCCTTGCTTCACAGCTCTCAATTAATTGTCTTAAGATAATAAACTTACCAGAACGGTGTGAAATGAAGCTTACACGAATTAGGTCTTGGGCATAACGGTTGGCATGACAGTCACTCCTTTGGTAACTGGTAGAATGCGACAAAGAAGTAATCGACACCAAGGTTTTTGAATTTCTACGCTAACGTAGAAATGTCGGTTTCCGAACTTGAGTGCATGCATGGGTAGTGTTGATTTTAAGGACTGGATACCGCTCGGAGAACGATCGTATGTTGATTGTATCAGGCAGAAAAAATAGTTGTCTGCCTCAGCTACATTTTAGTATGTATTTTGTTCTTATTGATTCCCATTGACTGTGAACATGTAGAGTTAAGTAATCTTGATCAGTACTGATTTATGCTAAGTCCTACGCTGATAGCGTTTGTGTGGCTATATATATATATATATATATATATATATATATATATATATATATATATATATATATATATATATATATATATATATATATATATATATATATAATATATATATATATATATCAATTGTCTGTTAAGGGTCTCGTGTACTGCACAGCAGTCCGATCTGTTGTACTGTATGGCTGTTAAACATTGCCATTGAAGATGGAAGACATGAAAAGGCTATAAGTGTTTGATCACCGTTGCCTTCGTAGTATAGGCCATATTCCGTGGTGTCATCATGTGAGTAATGCAGAAATCAGGCGTAGAGGTTTAGGCAGAAGAGGTAGAGGTAAGTCAGTTGACGAGGTTGTGAGCCTTCGTCAACTGAGATGGCTGTCTGGAATATGTGTTGCGTGTGCCTAGTCACACAATGTTGGCCGAAGTAGGTTCAGACTGGAAAAAGGATGGACGCGGCCAGACCAAAACATGGCATGAATGTATGAAGTGTTTGACTGTTGGTTTGAGCCTTGTGGGGCGATGCAGACTAGCCGGTCAGGGTCCGAAGGACAAGAGGAACCAGTGGTTAGAGAGACTAGGTGATATGGCTCAGAACCGATGTCAGTGGTGCAGATATATACACACATTATCCTCATCTTAACATTATGCCGAATCTCACCACTTTCTCTCTCCTCCCTTCTCTCTTTTCATGCTTCATATTTCTTTCGACTGGGTTTTTTTATCTTGATTTTGCACCTCACTACCTTTTTACTTGATGTAGTGATATCAGCTGTGGCAAGTTGGACCGTGGGGCAGTATGCCTGTTCCTATGCTGATATTGATGATGTAATCTGTCGTACAGGTTTTTTTGAATTAACTGTCACCTGGGACCGAAGAAATTCAGTAGCATTGGGTTACGACTACTGGTTTTTATAATTTGCAGCTGCAAATTTTATGAAATCCCGATATTGATCCTTTGATTTTGGCAGCAATGTCAACCATTCTTGTATTTGGAAGAATATAAAGCAGAGTTATATTGTGAATTTTGTTTACTTGTTCTTATAATATGTATTGTAAGTAAATTTTGGTACCGAATAAACTTTTGAGTATCTATAGTATCATGAAACTTTTTAAAAGATCTCTAACAACATGCTTGTTCGCACTTGTTAAACGGTGTTTTTGTCATTGAGAAGGCACGTCACGCTGTTTCACAGCCTCGTAGTCAGAAACAGCAAACCATGTCTGATCAAATTGTGTATGTACTCGTCACTTGGTCACCAGATAGTGGACAAACTGTGGTCCTGATTGTGTACATTAACTTCATGTCTTAGAACTGTCTAATTGTCTTCAAAGGGCCACATTTTCACTGTTACTATCCATGTTTACTAACTTGCGTTTGTTTTCCATCTATAAAAAAAACTAATAATACTAATATGTTCGCTTTACTCCGAACCATATTTTTGTTTACAGTACAGATAAATAAGGTATGGTTGTATTTTTATATGTAGCTATACCTGCATAAAGTTTAATGTATATACTTCTTGTCCTCCTAGAGGACAGAAATGGAGAGCTACGGATGCAGAGGATACTTATCATTAGATAAGATATTTTCAGCCAGCTGTCTAAAAGTGTTCAGATGCCTATGCACAACCGCATTTATCGGTGCAGTTAGTGTTGCACCACTGGTTCTGCTTACAGCTTTCAAAATGCATACGCAATACAACATATTGCTTTTTGAGTTAAGGAAAAAATAAGAGCGAACAATAAGTAAGTATAGGCAAAACACAAGGATCAATTAAACGTAAGAGTAGAGGTTGAGTTATGCCAGGCAGTCTGAGCTTCCTTAAATAAAAGGTCAAACGGAATAAGTTTTCTGAAGTCACTAGAATATGAGGGGACCAAGAAAGATCAGAAGAAAAGCACAAACCAACAAGGATTACACTTAATACATTCTCTACAATAGAGCTGTCAGTAAGACAAGAATTATGGAACTGAAACAGTCCACATAGGTCTTGTTCACGTCTTTGACTTAAATTAACCATCTGACACTTAGAGGGATTAAGTGTAAGACCATTCAAGGAAGACTAGTGGCCGATTTCGGCCAGGAAGTTATTAAGCTGAGAACAATCTGACGAGATGACCGGCATGGATACTAATAAGTCAGTCGCGTAATCAACAAAATTAGCTTCATTTGAAGTGAGGAGGTCATGCAAAAAGAAACAGAAAAGAAAAGGAGAAAGAACATCAGCTTGAGGCACACCGGTTTCACTAAGTTGCGAAGAAGAGTGTTTCTCTTTGTATAAAATGCTCTGTATTCTCTCAGAATAATAAGAGTGAAGCTACTTTGCGATCTGGAACTCAATGTGAGTTCTGGCAAGCTTGTTCAATAAAAGGGGTGTATGAACAAAATCGAAGATAGAAGCATAATTTAAGGAGGCAGATCTAACACTGTTTTGGAGAATAGTATTGAAACGAAGTCACTAAGTGCTAAAGATAATTTACTTCAGTCCATTTATGATGTTGGATGTCTTACTACGTCTCATCAGAGTCTAAATAGTAATAACTTTTCCTAACACTCCTTTTTACATAGCTTCATTTATTTTTCATACGCATTTTAGCTTAGAATTGTATCAAATGCTAAACAAAACATTCCTAAATTATTTCATCCTTTAGATGCCAGAAAAAGTACTTGATGCTCCCGATATAATTGATGACTTTTATTTAAACATATTGGATTGGTCTGTGGATAATGTTCTAGCTATTGCATTAAATAAAGAAGTGTATCTTTGGAATTCATCTACGGGAAGCATTACTTGTTTGATGTCTGCTGGATTCGAAGACGAATATATTTCTAGTTTAAAATGGTCTCCTGACTCACCAAATATAATTTCAATAGGTCTTAGTGCTGGTCGTGTTCAACTGTGGGATGTATCCAGCAAGTTATTAGTGCGTACCATGCGTCTCGGAGGTGTCAGTTCAGCTGGTCGTGTTCCAGCGGTTACTTGGCGTGAATACTTAGTTTCTAGTGCGTCTAAATCTGGACATATCCGACATCATGATACACGAATTGCTCATCATGAAGTTGGGATCGCTGACTTTCATACTCAGGTAAGCTATCTCGTAATTTCACTTCTCACTGATGGTCTATATTTACTTTATGTACTGTCAACGCTTCTTTACATGTAATTCTTGTTCATCTCTGCTTTCCCTCAGTATGCTCAATACAATATTAGGTTAGGATAACGTTTTCGTTTAAGATTATATTCTGTCACTTGTTTCTCATAACTAGGTGCTGAAAATAGTATTAGATTTCAAGGATCTACTAGAGAAACTTCTTTCATATGTAAATATTTTTGGTTATCTCTGCTTATTTTTAGACACTGCAAATGTTTTTGGGGCTGATTGTATTCGTGGGTTCGATTAATTTCTCATCTATCGTATAGTTTCCATCTGTCATTTTTTAAAGTATTGATAGCGTTTCACCCTTTTTGTGCTGTTCCGAAGTGTGTCGAGTTTTACTGATTCATTACTTTGTTGGGTTTTGCATCTTTCTAGTCAGTCAACCGTGTAAGTTTCTTTTTTCTACCCAGAAGTTTCCTTCATTATCTCCTTCGCTTCAGTGCAAGTTTGACAGAAAAAGAAAGCGGAAGCTTGTTCAATTCCTTTACTATCGCGTAATCCTCTCTACTATTTAAACACCGGAATGCACCCATCTGATCATAGGGAAAGACAAAAGGTGGTTTCAACAAAGAAAGAAATTTTCGACGAAGTCATTTACTTAACTTTACATTCGCGAATATATGTTAAAGTGAGCAGAACATCCCAGAATTATTTCCGGTTAGAGGGAAAAATATATTGAGTAACAAAAGGAAGTTAGTTCATAAAAATTAGGGTTTAGAGTGGGAAAATAAACAAAATATTATGAAAAGAAAATGTGTAATTTTGTGATACAGGATAAATCTATAACAGCCAAGGCCTTATAATGGGTTGGGCAAAGACAAAGGTTGAACGTACCTTTGTTGAACACATTAAGTGTTGTGGTATCACGAGGTGATTAGTGTATGAAGTGTGTTCGTTGCCACAGGCTTGTTGTACAAAAGTAAAAAGCATTGATGTATTGATAAATATTTGTAGTTGAACTTGAAGCTTTGTGGGGAGTGTTATATCGACCGAAAAATGGAAAACATGAATCTCAGATAAATATTATTGACCGGACCATGTTATTTATTTTGAAACGTATCTTGCCTAAGACTCATATGGTAACATTATTAAATAGGTCAACTCAAGAGCTTCTGATTCATTTCTCACTCATTTCTGTGTGACTTATAGGTCGGAAATAATTGCCTATTGAGCGAAATCAATCATTGTATATTATTTCATTTTTTATTCATGAAATTGATTGTTTCATTTTTATGGATTATGGTGCGTTGCTGACAGGAAATTCACTTGTAGATACAGATGATCCAAATTGCCAAACTATGCGGACAACCACAAGACTTACTGTTCAGTTGTACGAGGCCAGGGTGGCCGAATTATGTGATTCATTGTGTGGGTAAACTGAGCACGAGACGTTGTAAGCATATACAAGAATTATCACTTACAATGTTAGCGTTAGCAATGAATCAGTGAAATCGCATGGTTCAAAACAGTTACTGCTAGGCGGAGATATCACAAACAACAATCAGTCAAATAATCACTGAAAACCTGAGAGTACGGAGTAGCTCTCCTCCTAGTTTAAGACTATTTGGAATCAATTCCCCAGTCAACCCCAACTTGTTGACGCTTAATAACTTACTTCAAGATAGACTTTCCTAATTTCCAGTGAGAGTCTGTTATCTATGAAGTCAGGCAGTTTGGGTGGCGCTGGTTAGTGGTCATGTTATGTCACGAATCGGCAAATGCTGCAAAGCGTAGACCATTAGATTCCAACCGACTGGCTGAATGATAGCATGTTCACCCTGACACCTGTGGTTCTGTATTCAATCCCTCAGGGTTGTGGGTGCGCACAGCTGAGCAGTCCCAAACCAAAAAGAGACAGCTGTTCAGTGCTCCCAGGCTTTCAGTGATGCTCTGATGTCGATCCATTATCAAAACCCCTCAAAACGTTTTTTAACTTACTTTTTTTCAGCAAATCTGACCGATATCCATCTGGTGACGCTGAGACGTTTGCCGGTTAGATTATGCCCAAAAGAAATCTGAATAAATACAACACGGTTGTTTATGTTTGTTCGTCTGTCTCTGCGTAACTCGTTCTTGCTAGATTTCTAATTTTTTTTTTAATGTGTGAGTAGCTTACCGAAACCATAACACTGAAAAATGAAATAACATTTTATGGTAATCTAAAAGTGTCGTTTTACTTCACGTTTTGAAGATGCATCACTTTGAAAAAATGAAATTATATATTATTGCCAAGATGCGTAAAAGGAAGACTCTGCATTTCTGTGAATTTTTGTTAGCATTGGAACTAGCTTCAGAATCCATAAGTTTCAATTGGAAGAATGCTTCTCATGGTGTTCTGGGAACCGGTTACGTTTTAGTTTCAGCTACCGAAAGGAGATTTTTACTGCATTCGTTGTGCGTAGCAAAATAATCCATTAATAATTAAAGGTGGCTCATAATGTATTTCATGAATATCTGTACCGGGTTAATTTAAAATTACTTCCGACACTACAGGCGGCACGGATCAGGATGTCAAAGCCAAGATCGGAAAAGCAAGACAGGTCTTCATTAACTTAAAACCAGTGTGGAGATCTACTGCACTCAGTATAGAGAGCAAGATCCGGATTTTGAACACTAATGTCAGTCAAGTCAGTGCTTCTATATGGTTCAAAAACTTGGCGCGTTACGAAAAACATTTCCAACAAACTACAGATATTCATCAACAGCTGCCTACGCTGGGTCGGTGTTGAAGATCAGATGGCCAGGAGGAATAGGCAACAAGAAACTCTGGCTGGTAACGAACCAACCAAGAATTTATCGCCCAATAAATATGCAGAAGAAAGTGGAGATTGATTGGGCATACACTAAGAAGGCCGATGTGGGACATTACGTGCTAGGCCCTCGAATTGAATTCAAAGAGGAAACTACGAGTTTGGCGTCCGAGGCAAGGGTGAGATGGAGGAGATCAAGTGAGAAAGAAATGAAAGCTTGTGCGCAGTGATGGAGCCAGGTTGGAAAGACTGGAGAGAAGAGAGTGAAATCTTGACGTGCTACTGAAGCCCTGCGTTCCACTAGGAGCACAAGGGACAAATAATAATGAGAGATGAACATTTGTGATGTCATGTGCTTGTGATGCAAAAGAAACCGAGGTGATTTAATTCACATATGTAATCCACTACCCAGCGTAACAGTGTGCAGCTGTTTGCATTCTGTTGTACTGTAGCCCACTGGTTTGGGTACCCGAGCGATCACCGTTACCTAGTCGCGGTGGTCGGATTTTAAATCAAAATCAACCACGCCGAGAAGATCTGTTGGATAGTGGTAAGACGAAAAGCGGTTACTGTTGTAGTGTAAATGACTACACTACGATGGCGGTCTGACGGAGAAGTCAAGCTACTGCTAGCTGGACGCGGTCTGACAGCACTTAAGTGTCTACCTTGAATGATTTGCAGCACTCCACTGATATTGCTTACTCAACGGAAAGGGAGTGGTACTAAAGGCCAGTCCAAAAAATTACACACTCCCTCTGTTCCACGTTCTCCCGGAGCCGGCGGTATGGGTTTCTCGGCGTTGGAACGACGAAACCTTAAAATAACAATCCGCAAAAGCCCGTGTGCGATAGGCCCCAAGCAGATGTCTCGTGGGCTCTACGGTCACACAAATATTTTTTTCCTTTTCAGGTATCTTAAGTAGAAATATTCTTCCACAGTATACGCAACTGGGTAGTATCAACTGCCTTCACACTTCCAGTAGTATACAAGACCCAAGCAAACGACCTATCCTCTTCAACTCTGTTTCCTCCTTTGCCTTCACCTCCCGATACTAATATTAAGCATCTTACACTTTACCTAACCTCTCTCTCTCTGCAACCGTTATCAGCGATCAAAACCGTCGAAACCTCATTCCTAGTCTCCTAAGACCCCACCATTGACTTCATGTAGTAGCTTTCAACGTCCGAACTCTATACCAGATCGGATAGCAAGCATTGCCCGCCAAAACTGTCAACTCTAGGCATGGTTGTGTGCTGTGCTTCTGAGAATAGTATATAGGATCCGAGTCTGGCTATTAAATTGACCTCACTTGACCATAGTAGTGAATCTTCATATTGCGAGTATCCGGAGACCTAATGACTAGATCTCGTGGACTCACTGGTGTGGGCGTAGCATTGAGTTGTAGATCAGAAAGTGCGCTTCTCGACTGAATACCAATCAACATCCGTGTATGTGCTGCTTGACTAAATGGATCTATAAGAACTAGGAAGGATCATTAGACTAGGCGATGCCTATTTGTGATATCCACCTACTCACTCAGCGACTGCAAATTGAATGAAGCAAAGGATGAATTCTATGAAAAGCTGTCAACCTTGCTACAGAAAGCAAAACGTTCAGATGTAGTCATAATGGCAAGTGACTTTAACGCTCAAGTAAGGAAACTAAGCTATTGTAATTGTATCCTCGGGGTATTTACGGAATCCCATGCCAACAAACTGCAATTTTGCTCCTACCGTCACTTGTTTCTCACTATCATTAACTTTAGGCATAAGGAAAGACACTGTATCACATGGTGTCCGCCGACTTCAAACCAATGATAGACACAGATAGATCATATTAATATAAACCATCGTTGGAAACAAACGGCAGAGGATTGTCGCTCTTTCTGTAGTACCTGTTTAAAATCTGATCACGCGGTAGTATGGGCTCGTGTATGTCTGCATCCTACTGGCCTTAGGAAAAAGGAGGCATTGATACTCATCTCTGTTCGATTGGTAGATGGGGACGCTAAGTAGGCATTTGGAGAGGGGTTAGCTAAGCATTTATCTGAACATGAGGAAACCTGGCGTGATATTAAGTCTGCTGTAAAAACAGCGGTGAAGACAATCGGTAACCTACATCCTAAGGTTAGCAAACGTTATTGTATTTCTGCGACATCGTCTGGGTTGGTGCGAAAAGTGTGGTTCCAGCTTTCTCTGAACATGGTGAAGACTGAAAGCAACTTAAACGTAATTGACCAAAAGTCTTTGCGTCGATCTTGAGCAGTGCTGGACGGCGAAAGCGAGAGAGATGGAGAAGGCATCAGCGTTGGGTAACACTCGGCAACTATTTAGGCTTATTAAAAATACCTGTAAAAAAACGATGGTGGTGAATGAAACCATCACTGAAGACCTCCCACTACAGGTGAGTAGAATGTTGGACAAAACACTTTGAAGCATAATTCAACTGGCTCACATGCTTCGGTCCTCCGACTCTCCTTATAGTTGAGAAAGCTGTGTTGGACCTAAAACGATGCAAAGTAGCAGGACTTGACAGTTTGCCACCCGAAGTTTTCAAGGATGCAGGTAAGAAGTTACTAATTAAAGTGGCGGAGATACTAAGTAGTGTATCAGAATCAGAGGTAGTGCAATCAGACTGGTCTACATCGCTGATCATTCTACTCTCCAAGAGAGAGAGAGAGAGATGTTATTGTGACAACCATAGTGGACTTATTGCAATATGGACGTCAATTCCCTTTAAGTTGTTGATGCGTCTTGCCAACAAACACGAAACCTGGTCTCTTGCTAATTGCTTTTAAACAACTAACTTTTTTAAACTGGTGTTTGATTTTCTCTCTTAATTGTAATTGACCACTAGCTCACAAAAGTTAACTACAATAACTACGCACACCTCGAGTAATGCAATCATTACCACTGTCAACTTTTCTTTACCAATCATTTCATTGCACCACAGTTGTTAGTTAGTGTAATGACAAGAAAAGTGTTTTTAACTATGGAATTATTTTCTATCAGCTGTCCCTAGCACCTGTGGATTTACAGTTTTCTAATCGGTAAGTAACCTTTTTATTTCCTTTTTTATATTTGGTTAACTGACTTATCATTTGTTATCTGCTTATTTTCATTTGCAAGTAGTTTTTGCATATCTCTCTTAGATTCCCATTGGTATTTTTGTTTGTTAATGTTCATTTCTCTACCATAGGAAGTTTGTGGACTAACATGGTCTCCAGATAAGCGCTTCCTTGCCTCAGGTGCTAATGATAATTTTGCTGCTATTTGGTCCGCCGGTGATACGTCGAAGCCTATACACGTCCTAAGAGATCATCAAGCTGCAGTTAAGGCGATGTCTTGGTGTCCATGGAAACCAAATCTTTTGTGCACTGGTGGAGGGACATCAGATCATACTTTAAGATTTTGGAATACAACAACTGGAGTCTGTGTTAAATCACTTGATGTAGTTGCTCAGGTATGTTTTTACTTATTACTTTGCGAATCTCCTGTTTCCTATCTGAAATAAGGCATTTTAAAAAGTTCCTGTAAGTGAGAAGCACATTAAGCTGCACTATAATTTAATTTGGGGGTTTTTCGGGATTTATTGATTCCAAGTTGGTATTCATCATGGACTGGCATCAGCTGGAAAAACATTGGAAACCTGGGAGCACTGAATACCTGTTTCGTCCCAGTATGGGACTCTTCAGCGGTGCTCACCCATGACCCCACCAGGGTCAGTTCAATAGCAACGTTTAGTGCAAAACTGGGGCCTTACAACAAGATCGAACACTGAACCTTCAGGTTCCATGAGCAGCAAGCTGCCACTGGCTCGGAGTCCAATGGTCTACATTTTCAACTTCTGTGAGTTCACGAAATAGCGCAACCATCACCCAATGTGATCGTTGAGTATTTGTCCTCACAGCAGCCAGACTTGCCCCACCGGTCACTCGAGTGGAACTCAGATAGGAAGCGACGAGTTGGGCATCCGAGGTGAGGGTGACATGGAGGAGATCGTGCGTGGAGGAAATGAGAGCTTGTGGGCTGTCGTGGAACCAGGTTCAAAAGATTTCGGAGAACAGAGTTCACTGGAGACGTGCTACTGAAGCCCTATGTTCCATTAGGAACCCAAGGGACTAATAATAATAATAGTATTGATCAGCTCCTTAATCTACTGAGGTAAAAAAATAACTAAATATTTGTTTTGTAGTTGCTTTTCCCCAAGTTCTTATGAGTGGGGGAGATTTATCAAGTTAGAGTTCTAAATAGAAATGCACCAATTACTTGGGATACCAGTTAGCTTTTAGGACCCTTTATATAAAGCTAAAAAAGGGGAAGTATCCCATTCCTTCTAAGTGCCATCTGAATGATAAAATACTTCCTACAAGGTGTTGATGGTATGAAGCATATTTAATAGCGATGCCTACTGCTCCTTGATCTTCAGAAGTTTTCTGACTGACACTGATCATCGGCATTGAGTGCTATCCTGAAATCAGTCAATTCCTAATAAACACTACTCTAATGGAATTCATGCTTATTCAATGATCACAAAAAACTTATTTAATGTCATAAACAATAACAATACTGCAGTATAGTGATATCGGCGTGGAAGGTGTCAATCGATCGAGTGGTTAGGATACATTTCACACATTCAATATCAAGGTTTTATCCTGATGGAGATGCTGTATTAATCTGAAGAAGAGTTAAAAGTAACCAGAACAAGATAGAACAATGATAACTAAACTCACTATGAGTTTCTGTCTTGTACAAGTGTAAATTGCTTAGTTCTATCATCAAGCTGTTGTAAAGTGAAGTGATGCAATTTTGTGTACTCTTTATCCTCCCATTTAGTGTAGATACGTTTGGCTGTCATTATACTCTCATCTATATCGTTTCTGTGTGTATTTATTGCCACTTCAGACGTTATACTTCAGTTTGAATTTCGACAATAATATATTTATCTTGTGCAAATGTATTGTTCGGTACAAATGAGTGGAGAAATCACTCTTTTTTGTATTTTCAAGAGAGAGAGAGAAAAAAAGAACGATGTGCTCTACGGCCTAATTTTTACAATCTGATTCTCTTACGGTTTTGATGACTGGTAGATCATTGAACTAATCAACAGCAGTGAACAATATTATTGATCCCTGTCTGCTATTTGTTCTCATGTTTTAGACATGTTTATTTGCTTTGTTTTAATCTTTAGATGTTTTTTTCCTTTGAGTTTGCTTACATTATTTGTAATATTATTAGCATATAAACATTCCACTGTTTCAGATAGTGTAATACTGAGCACTTTGACTTCAGATTTTGAGGTTAGAAAGGCTTCCCAACCTTAGAATTGTCACTAAACAACTTTTGATATTATTTCATGAAGTCTAACAAATTGTTTGACTGCCTAATGTATAAACCGTCCTTCATACTTGAACACTTTCTCAGACATCAGACGTAACATAGGTTAAATACTTCATTTGTTTTTAGGTGTCTGGTATAATATGGAATACAGAATATCGTGAAATTTTAACTAGTCATGGAGCTCCTCTCAAACAGCTTGTTATATGGAAATATCCAGAAATTACCCAAATTACCCACCTTAAAGGTAAGATCTTGAAAAAAGTATAATTTGTTTGGGATTTTCTGCAAACATGATTGGTTAGCACCAATGTTTTATCTTAAACCAATTTACAAATGTATCAAATGGTTTTCAGCAGCTTGGTAATCTTTCCGAGATTAAGTACTTAAAAAATCAAGTCTGTGATTTCCGCCATATGGATATCTGTGCTCGTCACTTTTCTGCTACATGAGCATCCATGATGTATTCATTATCTCCAAACATCTCCCAGCACAGCGATATCTCTTGAATGCACTCGTTTATTTTCACTTTTTATCATCTCTTAACTATGCTAACACTTTTTCAAGCTTCGGATTGTACAGCCTAATCTGGTTGTAGTAACTTGAACAATCTGTTCTACGCTCCCAGCTACTGAACTAACTAACTTATTTCAAATTAGACAAAAGGTTTCAGAGAAAACTATATCGTTTAAGGTGTATTTGTATGCAACATCTTGTGGTTATTTTTAAATTTTAACCGTGTATTCATTGTAATCACTTTGAAATGTGTTTTGTGAGTGTTTCGGGATGCACTTATACTGTTTAACCAAATGATCGCGCAGTGATTTCGAAGCATCGTATCATCTCCATATATTTGTTTGGTACTTTCAGTCACTAACCTGAGGGTCACGTTTTTGGGTAATAATTCCGATAAAAAAGCTTTGACCTAAGAGAAAGGCACTTTTATGATATGTGTAGAACATTTGTCTGCATAGATGAAAGTTGTAAAGCTTCGGAGCCTGTATTTCTATAATAATCTGTTTTGAGTTCACAATAAAGTCAACCACAAAAAGACATCTAGTGGGATGAAATGTACATCGTAATAGTGTATAGAGTTACTAGGTAAATACGATAAGTCAGTCTATGATCTGATGAACTTTCATCGATTAACCTGGTTTTGACAAGTTACACTCATACCAAACTAATATCAGTCTGAAAGTGTTGTTAGTTGTGGTGTAGAAGAAAAAATGTAAGGGTGACTGAATTAAGAAATGCCACTAGCCCATGCATTTTTTGACTGTTAATCAGAATTATTGGAAAGGAAAAAATAGCTTTCATGATTTTATTCTGTGGGAAAGTCAAAATCCTTGGTTGAGGACTTTAGATTTTCAATAGCTCAGATAAACTCACACCTTGATGTTGAAATTATACATCTTTTACAACTCATTTTATGTATTCTCTCCTTTTTTCTCATCATCCTTTGACAGTATTAATATACTATCATTTTCATTTCTTTGTATTTCTTCGTCTATCTTGCTTAGCAGTGCTAATGTAGTTTAGCAAACTCAACTGATACACATCATTTTTATGTTATTCATGAGTAGTCAACCAGTTTGTAATTACTTATTTACATCTGATAATTAATGTCTTTCCGGTCAACTGATAGTTTACCACCGAATAACACAGTTGTATACCCCATCGTCGAGGTATGTTTTCATAACCATAGAAATCCTTTAGTAGCTTTCCTGTATATTAATTCGCATGCAATGAACGCTGTTGTTTTTAATATATTTTGTGTTTGGTAAGATATAGCATACATTACAATGTTTTGCGAACATTTTTAAGGTCTAGTAATGATGGATTGTAGTTAGGAGTGGAATCCAGGATGCACATTTCGTCTTATTTAGGACTCTTCAGCTGAATGTACCTGCCTCCCAGTGAGTTCCCACTGCACAGGAGCCCATATGCTAATAGAGGCCGATCAATTCGGTCCAATCAACGACGGTATAATACGAGCAATAATACTAAAACTATACCTGTCGCACAAGAAGTGGCTCTGCGGTCTAGTAGATAACACTCTGGCGTATGAAGCAATTGGTTCTGAGTTCGAATCCCTGTGGGAACAACACCACTCACTGGGAGGCAGGTACATCCAGCTGACCAGTCCCAAATTGGACGAAATGTGCATCCTGGATTCCATTGCTAGCCACTTTCCATCATTACTATATAGAATTAAAGCAGGTAATATCGAGGCATCCGCACAGGAGCCCATATGCCAATAGACACGGATCAATTCGAACCAATCAGTGACGGTATAATACAAGCAATAATACTCTTCTTAAGGTCTTTCAAAATAAGTATGTTTTATTACATCTCCAGTAGTTTTTTTGTGACTGGTTAAAAGTTATGGCAAGCAAATTCAATCTGATTCCTCTCCTGGGAAATTTTTATCCTACTTTGACGATAATTAGTCATTATGTACTGTCATCATTCATATTTTGAAGATTAAACAATTATACACCCTTCATCAGTGATTCATATCCAATAGGCATGGTTTTTGTATTCATGTAGTCATTGAAGAAAACTAGGTTTCGTCACTACCTATTTTGCTGTGTTAGGTACATTGCACTATCTATTGGAGTTCAAGTGAAAGCCATATCACTCCTACTGTTTGTTTCTTCTACATTCATTCATTTGTAGTAATTTGAAAACTTTTATATACAAATATATTTTTATTCACAGTTGTTTAAGAATTGTTTGATGGTAGGAATGATGTATTATATTAGTGTGCTGCTTTGATCTGGTTATTCGATAATCATTCTGTTATATATTCCGAACGGATATAATACCCACTCCTAACTGACACCTAACTTCGTACACAAGAGCCACCAACTGCAACTCAGGACGAGTCGAGAGAAGATCGAAGCTAGGTGATGGAAGAGTTTATTCCTCCGAGTATATCAATCAATTTATTGTGAAACACGTGAATATGTATACACATGAAATATGGCGTTGTCTTCAAATTGAGACATTGACATAGTAAGAGTAAGGAATAAGCAATCAGTGAATTACATTACAATGGTCATGCTGTCAAAATGGTGGGAAAATGACAAGTTAAAAATGTTAAGATCAATAACAATGTTTTATGCAAATCTGGGGCCCTACAATGCATTCTATGGGTTATGGTTTGAAATCCACTTCACTTACTTTTCCCTTCACAGTTGGATTGTTACTTATGTTCAATAACCCAGTATAGGCTTACCAAGATGTTTATTATTGTTATTCGTACTGGGTGATGATTGAAGGTGAAATGAAAATTTGGACCACAGCAGGATTCGAACTAGCGATCACCGGGTTCTCGGTCCGATACTATACCAACTGGGCTATGATGTCCGACTGCTGGCCAGATTTTTATTTTACTTCGATCACCAATGGTTTTTGTCTGACTACCATATGAATTCATGACGCGTTACTATCACTTGATCGTACTCACACTGGTTGCCTAGTCAGGACTTCTCCTAATCCAAATGTAACTGGGCTAGAGAGGGAGAAGCATTATGTTGATTATCATTTTGACTATCTGAGATAGCCGTGGTTTGTCAGACTAGTATTGATACCGGCTGCGATCCAGACCACGGCTATCTCAGATAGTCAAAATTATTATTATTGAATATTATAATTCTGCATCGAAGTAATTGTTACTAATAGTGATTAAGTTACTCTTTGAGGTTGAATTAGTCGACTTTTAACAATATATTTGTGCATTCAGTCATGAACTGTGCTTTGCAGCATACAACTGTGTCGAAAGCGAACACCATCATAGGATGCATCATACCTTTTTAGTTTTCATAAGACTTCACAAATTAAAGTTTAATCTTAGTATCAGTCTGGAAAATATAATTTATTGGTGTATTTTAGTGAAGCACAGGTACTCGGAGTAGTTTTAAGGAGATTTGAAAATACTAAATTTGAACTAACAACTGTTTTTACTTCACTCACTTATGCAATCACTTGCACTATGCCTTTAATCATAGACTTCTTATCCCTCTTTCTTTTAGAACACCAGGGTCGTGTATTGTGTATTGCCTCATCACCAGATAATGAGATGGTTGCCAGTTGTGCAGCTGATGAGACTTTACGTGTTTGGCTTTGCTTTCAAGTTGATCCAAACAAGAAACGTATTCGGCAGAAGAGTCAACGACCTTCTGTTTATTCACGTGGTATACGATGAACGTTGTATCCTGCCTGTTTTACTTGTGGTGCACAGTGTGTTTTTCTATATCCTGTATATTCTACTATTGGTACTCACTGTTCGGTATTTTTTTGAAACTTGCAATGTATGCAGTATCATATCTTAATTGTTTTTATTAGCACCTGCTACTATGATTACTGTTTACGTGCACTCTATCTCTAAAGTATCGAGTAGTTTATTTACGAAACATGTTTTATATGTATACGAGTTGTGCTTTTTACTAGTCACCTTGGTTTTGTTTTCTCGTTGCTTTAAACGTACAATTTGTTGTAGTATGACTGATTTATTAGAGTTGAGATGAGTACCAGAACTTACAACAGTTGTCTTCTAATTTTGTGGTGAAAATCAATAGCTGTTAACACGTTCGTATATTGGTTTGTGGCATGCATCTTTTGTTTGAGCACTATCGACACTTTACATTTGTTCATCTAAATCAAAAGTGGAGTGGAATTCGAACTGATGAGACTTAAATTACTTTGAATCACTGTGTACAAGGTTGACCTTCGAATATCCTTTTAATTGGAGATTGGCATTAATGAAAGCATATTTTAGCATGAAGCAAATTTTTCATCTGCATTTCCGAAAAAAATAAAAGTAAAACTTAGATAGGAAATGAGTTAGCTCACAAATTTCAACGCATACTATGAACTCAGTTTTAGGTACATGCAATAAAGTTTTGCTGCTTCTATGGTGTTCATAGTTGCAGTAGCTTCGAAGATCCACACGTCATCCTCAGTATGGAGGAGTTGAATGTCCGTTTCCCAGTTGCCTCGTGGGGTCGAAGGTTGCAGGTTTCCTAACAACTTTCTAGGATAGGTATAACCTGTCTCTTGCAATCAGTATCTCCATGTAGGTATAATACTGGTTAATTCGGTACTGGTGCACATTGCTTTCGTTAAGACTGGCCACGTATTATTATTATTTGTCCCTTAGGTTCCCAATGGAACATTGCACTCTCTTCTCTGAAATCTACTAAACCTGGCTCCACGACACTCCACAAGCTCTCATTTCCTCCTCCATGTCACCCTCACCTCGGACCCCCAGCTCGTCGCTTCCCATCTGGGTTCCACTCGACGGCCTGACACGTGACGTCCCCAAATGGTCTTCTCAGTGTATGCCCAATCCATCTCCACTTCCTTCTGCATATTCGTTCAGCGATTGGTTCGTTCCCAGAGTTCCTTGTGGCTTATTCTTTCTGATGTCAGTCTTCGATGAATAACAACTTGAAATTATTCTTTCTGGTCATCTGATCTTCAGTAACGAGTGAGCGTAGGCAGTTGTTGATGAATATCTGCAGTTTGTGGAAATGCCTTTCGTAACGCACCAAGTCTCTGCGCAATACAGAAGCACTGAATTGACTGGATTACTGTTGAAAATCTGGATCTTGTTCCACATGCTGAGGGCAAAAGATCTCTACACTGGTTTCAGGCTTATGAACGCGTCTTACTTTTCCGATTCTGACTTTGACATCCTCGTCTGTCCCGCTTGTAGTTGAAACAGTGCTTCCTAGATAGGTGAAGGAGGTTAATTCCTTTAAGTTTCTTCCGTGATGGTGATTGGAGTTTGTTTTTGTTGGTTGGGTATCTTGAGGTAGAGAGTCGACTGCCATTCTATACTCTGTCCTAGGATGATGCGTAGTGTACCGTTGCAATTTGGACCGCACATGATTTGTACTTCCTGAATCCAGCCAGCCTGTTCCCGGCCGTAGTTTTAAATCCAGCGCATCCTTTAGTCTCCCCAGGATGATGCAGCCTAATATTTTGCAAGATTCCGCGCCAGTTCTTGCAAAAACTGAGGTGTCCCTTCTTCGGCAGTTTGACAGCGTAGCTCTTCTTCTAATCGCGGAGCACCTTCCTTCCACACCTGCAATAGTGGTGTGAGCATGTCCGCTGTTGTCTCTGCGTCTGTTCTCAGTGATTCTGGTGGAATCCCATCTTGTCCTGATGCTTTCCCACATTTCAGTAGCTTTATGGCGCTCAGGACTTCCACTTTTGTTGGAGGATTTATGTTCACTTGTAGTTCAGCGGCTGTAGGTGGTATTTCTGGACGAAGTGCAGGTGGTGGTCGATTCAACAGCTTTTTGAAGTGGTCGGCCCTTTGTTTCTATTCTTTGGTAATTATATTTCCTTCATCATCTTTTACTGGTTTCATGTGTGTTTATTGCTTCCCAGCTAGTAACCTGGTTATTTGATACAATGTTGTCAGGTCTCTGTCTCTCCCACCTGCAGCCTGTTCTGTTTTACTTGCCAATGTGTCGTTTGTCTTTGCGCGCACTCTTCTTCACTTCTTTGCCAAGTGTTTCATACATTGTGCACAGTTCCTCTTCTCGTTGTGCATCCTTGCACCGGTTTATCGTCTGCTTCACCATCCTCTCCCTCCTCTATCAGCTTCCATGTATCCATTGAGATCCATTCCTTATCTTCTTTCTTCTTCCTTCCTAATACGGCTGTGCAGGTTTCTTTCCACATCTCTTTCAAAGACTTTTAGTGTTCTCCCACATAGGTTTCTTCAGGGATGTCCCTCGATATCTCCCATTTTGTCTTGATGGCTGACGTGGAAATTTCTTTTGTAGTTTCATCCTTCAGTTTCCGAGTGTTGTACTTGAACTGTGGTCTGTCACCAACTTCTTTGAAGGCTTTTAACTTGATTTGGAAGGTAGGTTGCTTGCACTAGATGGTGGTGTGAACCTACATCTGCTCCTCTTCTTGGCCTTGTGTCAACAAGGTTGACTGCGTCTCCATTTTCTTGAGATTGAGATAAGGTCGATCTGATTTTTAGTGTGTCCATCTGGTGAAATCCGTGTCGCTTTGTGGATATCCTTGTGCTTGAACACACTGCCTCACTGTAATCACCAAATCGTTGAATGCACACAATTCTGCAGACAATTCTCCATTCTCGTTCATCACCTCACCGAGCGCTTCTCGACCCATGGTTAGTTCTCTTCCTGTGTTGTCCGCTCCCAGCTTGGCGTTCATGTCGCCCATTAGAAATTTGATATCGCCAACTGAGGTCTTGTCCAGTGTTGACTGAAGTTGTCTGTAGAATTCCTCCTTTTTCTCTTCATCTGCATTATTTGTTTGTGCGTAGCGCAGCACTGTATAATTGTGACCTTCCTTCCTTTTGAGTTGAACCTCGCTGTTGTGATCCTGGAGGAGATTGGTTCCCACTGCACGAGAGCCTTCGATGCTCCTGGGTACATCATGATGGCCACTCCACAACTCAGTGTGCTGGTGGTTGTCGTCTGGGTGACCGGAGTAGATTATTGATTCTCCAGTTGACAGTTTGGAGAGTCCACTTCCATTCCATCTACTTTCACCAATTTCTAGCACTTCAGTGTGATACCCTGTCATCTCGCTTGCAATCTGGGCTGCCTTGCTGGGTTCAAACATGGTGCGGACATTCCATGTCCCCACGTTTACTTTCGCTTTCATCGAGAGAAGAGAAGACATTGACCAATTGGCTTCCCGAGGGCTTTCACCGACTGGCGTCATTTCGCTTCTCCGATTCCAGCGAGAAAAATAATTTTGCTTTTGTTTTTTATATTGTTTGTGCTTTGAAGTTTCTTTGGCGGTTAGATTTGTTATACGGGGTAGGGTTGCTAGCCCTATGCCCAACCTTCCCTCTTTATCTGGACTTAGGACGGGCTAGTAACTAGTTAACCAGGTGAGGTTACTGGCCACGTATTACGCAATAATAACACGACCAACTAGTTACAAATACTTTTAGGAACGCATTCGCTACTTGCTTTTTACCTCTTGGTGATGAAACAAGCGACAAGGCTGAAGCGTGATCAACGCTGTTTTTTCTTTGGTGTCATGTCCGTTTCGTCGTGAGTCAATGAGTTACGCAACCCTTAGGACTCACCTAGGAAGTCTTAAGGAACCGATTGATTGTAGCCCAACACTAGAAATATCTCCCACCCAATGACACTACAGCATATACTTCTCACCGCTTCCATCTGATTCAAGGATAAGTGAAGAGTGAGTGGTGGGGGGTTGCTGGGATAAAATAACACCAAAGCCTGTGTTCGCAGATGATGATTTTCAATATCTCAAACCAACCTACGTGATGTTTCCACTGGATACGAGTAATCTTACTGAGATAGCAGTAATCAAAAGCATAGAGTTGTCTATCATCCTTAGCTTTGAGAGGTCAGGTTTCGCAGGCCCAGAGAAAGACTGCCCACGCGGCTGCGACCCGACGTTATACAGCGAGGTTGAAAACGGGATGATGCCAAAGGTCACTGAGATTGATGTATACCGCTCTGGGGTCTGAAATAAGTTTATAAGTCTCATCAGTTGCCCATGCGTCACCGTTCACATAACCGTCTGGATACACCAACTTGACGAAAACTTCAGGCGGCTGACCACCAAGTGTGGGTGAAGCTGCAAGTCTGATCATTTCTTGTATATCATGTGGTAGTTCTGTCTGCAACTCTCCCAAAGCTATCTTGATCCTGACACTCTTCGCACCGCATACAGTGCCCGAACCTCTGTATTTAAATAACCCTAGTGCTACTTCACACTTTATCGACTTTCTAAGCATCTCGGCCGTGTAGACTAGTTTTTGTACTGTCTCTCAAGTGCACTTTCCATTTGACATAAGATGACTGGAATCTTCATATTGGCGTCTGTCGGTTAATTATCGATAATTCTGAATACTCAGTTGTATTGCGCCAAACAAAACTTCATGGGGGGATGTGAAGCATGGCGGACACTATCTGTTAGTAGACAAGTTAAGCGTTCTCTACAGTTTCTTCTTTCACAGCCCACAGGATGGGCAATGTATAACAGGGAGAGTTTAAAAGTCTACACACCTTTAGTTGTTTGTAGCAGCTTCCCATAAACACTAACAGATGTCGGCCATTCTCAGTCTAATTTTTAGTTAACACTCTGTGACATAACTCTGAAGTCCCTCACTTCCGTATGCCACTTCGCTGTGAATAAAAAGCAATCCATTTTCACACGC